TGGAGAGTGATTGTAGGAGTGCTGTAGAGTGTATTAAAAACTCTGCTTCAAGTCTTTCATGTTTTGAGTCTATTGTCAAAGAAATCGTGTATGTTGTAATGAGTAATGAGGTCCTAATTCATTTCATCCAAAGAAGCGCAAATTGGGAGGCTGATGAGTTAGCAAAAAAAAGGGATTGACTAATGTTAGGAAGAAAAGTGGTTGAGTCTAGTTGGCTCTAATAATTGTAATGGTGCGCTTTCTATAATATGGGTGTAACTCTTGGGGGCTGTTTTTAACCCCTTTTTCAATAAAACTTGAGGTACTCTTTTTTCCCTTCCGCTTTTTTTTCAGTCTGCCTCTTTGGTATTCTGACGATTATGAAGGGGTTTTTAAGGAGACCTCTAATTCATATAAAAAAAAAAGTTTCCCACATTACAGTTACAATTAAGTAATCATATTAGAATCTAAAAATAAAAAAAAAATCCTGCAATTTGGAAAGGATTTGATTCCCTATTCTGAATATGCAAATATAATACATGCATGAAAAATTGCAAATATATATAAAAGAACATACTTCCTTAAATCGGCATATGCTTGAGCCTTTTCAAGGGGAAATCCAGAGGAGTAGAATGCAATCAAACAATTACAGACTGGCCAGCTGAAACAAGCAAAATTATAAGAAATTATGAACTGTCAAATGAATTAGGTAAGAGAAACAACGCAAATCTTGACCATTAAGAGATTAATATTAAGAAGTATGTTCACTAGTACCGCATACATTGATATATCGCTCTCACATCCTCGGACTTAATTTCCCCCCAAAAATCATATAATCATAAAACTAAAGGGGAAAGAGTAAAATATAGAACAATAAGGAACTGATCTCAAATCAGAGAGTCGATCAGACTCAAACTCTATCTTTCAAATAAAAATACAAAATTTCAAGGCACTAAATGAATCTGAAGAGAACAGCTGAAAGACAAGACTGAAACTTTGCAACATAAATGAAACCGGTCTATTTACTGCTTTCAACCGGAAATTTAATTTGCAAATCTGTGAGGGAGATCCACACCTCTTGTTTCTTATTCCTTTCCCCTTTCTTCTAAACTTAAAATAAAAAATGATAAAGGGACAGATAATTTTTTTTGATAAAGGGACAGATAATACCAATAGTGAAAAATATAATCAACAATATCGTAACGTAAATCTGAGATAATGCGTTTCAACTAAACAACCAAAAGCATACCTTTCTATCGGATCTTCAAGAATAACCTTATCACCAAAATAGAGAATCTACAAAAAGAGAAAGAAAAAAAAAAGGCATTCAACCAATAAGAACAAAACGATGTAACATTTTTCTTTAAATACCCGTGTTCAAGGGTCATATTTGATACATATGCATGGATGCAAGGAAATGAGCATTGAAGTATCCTCCAAATGCATGAACATGAAAAATAAAAGGTTCAGAAATAATTTAGAAAAAATATTCAATACACAACGTACCCATATCTGACACTCAAACCACGGTCAGAGTAACATAGGCTGCACTATCACATTCATGCAAAAGAAAACGCCAGCATAGCATTACAAACACTCCAACAGAAATTACCAAAAAGAAAAGAGTATATTTTTCATTACCGTAAATCATGATTTTATCCATTTCTATGTCCCCAAAACTAATTCATATGAGTATATCAAGTTCAACTCAAACATATAATAAAACAATACGAATTCAGATTAATTTAAATTTAAGATTCGATAGATTTATATGATCTACCTCAAATTCGCCAAATGCCTTAATCCTGTCCAGAATCTGTCTCATTGGAGCCGAAAAGGCCTGAAAAAGGAACAAAATAATTATTTTAAAACTAATATTTGAGCATTAAAGCATAGCGCAGGGTTTCAAATAACGGTCGAATAGCGATGTCGTGGTGTGAGATGGAATCACACCAATAGAGGTGGATCGCGGCCGCAATTTAACCGATTGTGGTCAATTATGACAATAGCGAATTGTTATTCTGTTATTTAATTTTTTTATTATAAAAAACAGATTTTTTTTTTTAAAAAAATTAGCTATTTGGAAAAAAAAATTCACCAACTGCAATATCGATAATGATCGCAATATATTATATTTGCATCTGTGATAACTAAAATCGTGACCGCGAATACTACTTAAAACCCTGACATATCAATAAACACTATATATTAATATAGAAAACCATGCATTCCTCAAAAAAAAATGTTAAAAAAAATATATTATAGTTTTCATATATTTAATACAAAACTTGAGCAAACAAAAGAGACAAGGACCTCGCTTCCGCATTTCACCTTCTTTTCCATGACGCAAACTCCAACGATTATCTTCTCATATCCTTCTTCCCCTCCTCCTCTTCCTTCTCCCATCTCTTTTATCTCAACGAACAAACAGAACACCGCGATGGAAAACTCTTCTGGCACCAAACGCCACCACAACGCCAATCCGGAAACTTGTGGATAGGTACAAGATCTAGGAAATGAAGAAGACGCCGCGTGAAACAGGAAAAACAGATAATGCGATTAGGCGAAGAAGAAAGGAACGAGGCGTAGAGTATGTGGAGAGAAAAGTCGGAGAGAAAAAATGAGATGGTGCGTTCAAAATGGCGAAAATAAATGAAAGATGGGATTAAAATTGTATTTATAGATTCCTTTTAAGTATTGAGGGATGCTTGGAGCCAAAAGACGATGGATTCTGGTATATTCAAGTGGGTGAGGATTTTGATTTCTGAAAGGGACCTCCCAAGTTAAAGGTTTTCATTTTTCTTTTTCATTTCTAAGTTTGGGTAAACTAATGTATTGGTCACTTTCATTTTATATTTGTACATTCTTACTCATCAAATTTAAGAATAATATATTTTAACTACTTATATTATTGATTTATTTAATTTTAATCACTTACGTTATTGATTATTATATTTTAGTTAGTGAGCTCTCAACTCTAATTAATTTGATGATGTGAGTTAATTTTTCATTTTGCTCCTGAAGTCTATGTAGAACACTATTTGATCCAGAACTTTAGATAAAGTATCATTTTAATCCTAAACTTTAAATAAAGTATCAATTTAACTCTTAGATTTAACCAAAGTCTCATGTCGCCGCCACCACTCACCACCTTCATCGTCGGTTACCATCAATCAGAAACAGTCATCATCATTGTCCATTGTTAAACAACAAAATTTGCAATTCGCTCCCTTTTGACATTTTCTATGTGAATTTATTATTTATTTAATCGAAAAATATTCGTAACTCAATAAATCTAGCCTATAACCCTTCAACTTCTCTTAAAATTAAACCATAAAAATAAGTTTATTATTAATATTCCTTTAAAAATAGAGATTCTAAAAATCTAAATCCATATCATAATCTATTAACCAAAATGAGAGAAAACAGTATAAGGGATAGATTGAGAATTTAACTAAACTTAAGAGAGGAATTAGCTATTAAGCAAAAATAAAAAGGGTGCCTTTCGAGTCTTAAGCATGGCAATAATGATCAAAACTGTAGTCAACAGAAGTTATTTTAAGGGGTAATTTTGCTCTACATCAACCTAATATAATGATAAGAAAAAGTGTCACTAAATTTTTTTAACATTTTTAATATAGTGTTATCTAAAATATTATTTTTTCTATCGAAAATGTTAATTTCGCTACATAAAATGAATATTTCTGATATTAATATTTTCGGTAGAAAAAATAACATTTTAGGTAGTACCCGATATTAATATTTTCTGTAGAAAAAATAATATTTTAAGTAACGCTCTACCGAAAATATTAAAAAAACATTAACATTTCCGATAACGTTTTTTTTTAATCTTATATTAGAATGTTTTTCCTCAAACATCTCCTCTTTTAAGGCATCGCATAGAATCCTACATTTCATCAACCTCTTGAGAACTTTCATTTCCTTTTTTTTCTTTAAAATTCATGAAACAAAACCTCCATTCATTATCTGCTCGCTTAATGCTTACTCATTTTGATTTCAAGCGTAGAAGATGTTTTTTCTTTAATTTTGTAAAGCAAAAAAAGTCTCAACTCCACTAATCCGGTTTCAAATTCAGAAGCAAATAGTTTTGTTCAATATTTGATCCATGGATGGGTAAATTAGCTTCTCTTGCTGTTGTTAAGAGAAAAAAATATTACTTTGGGTATTTTTTTTATTAAGCTAAAGTTCTTACAAAATAGTATATGTTCTAAATATTCTCAACCATTTGATAACGAACACTCAATCACTCTACTACACTCATTGATGCTCGAATCTATTACTTCTAAGAATAACGATCATTTCTTTAACCACTAAAGTAATTTGGTTCGTGCTACTTGGATTATGATATATGTTTATAATTTTAGTGTCTTTATTTTAAAAATAATTATAAATATAAATTAATTATTATGATTTAATTAAAAAAAAGTTATCAACAATCAGTTAATCTAGTTGGATAAGACATTAGATTTCTTAAGACAAAGTCAGGGATTTGTTTCATAACGTTTGTGTAAGGAGTAAATTCGGTTCAGAGAGTCTCTCACATAATAAATCTTTGTAAAATTCGATATAAATTGATTAATCAATATATCAAACATTAGTGATTAATTCAAAAAATTAACGTCTAACGTTGACTTGTAACCTTTCTAATGTGAAAATTGTGCCAAAAGGCCTTTAGAATGTGAAAATCCTGCCCAATATCGATTCTACAACTTTTCGAATACGAAAGTCCTGTCTAAAATCTAAATAGTGTCACTACCAAGAAATGCCATGAAAATAACGTCCAACATTGTTGTCGAGAGCGTTAGCAAACAAAAACCAAGTGTCATACCCTTAATTCCATTGACGAGTTCAATGCTAAAAAATTCTTATTTTACTGAAGAAATAAATCACAAAATTAGTCCTCTAAATAAATTTATTATTCGAATCAAATTATTATAGTAAAAAACAAGTAATACAAGTTTCACGAGATTCAACAAACACAATAAAAAAGTTCAAACAAACAGGATCTTGGTTTCTTCTCTAAGATGAAATTGAAAACTTGAACTCCATAACATGCTTATAATCTTTTCCAGGATAAATAATAGTGGAAGGAAAGTTTGGATTATTAACGGAATCCGGAAAAGCTCGAGTATCCAAACAAAAAGCTCCAAAAGGTTGATAAACATATCCACCTTTCCCCTTCACATCTTTCAGGAACTTAGCTGAATAAAATTGAACACCAGGCTGATTGGTAAACAATTCCATCACTCTCCCCGTTTTATCATCTTTAACAATGGCAGTTTTCTTCAGCTTTCCAGGAGCACCATCTATGACATAGTTGATATCGTATCCCTTGGTAAGTTTGTCGATCCGGCTTCCCACGGTGTGGGGTTTGAGGAAATCATAAGGCGTTCCTTTTACGGTGGCTATTTCGCCTGTGGGGATGAGTTGGCTGTCGACTGGAGTGTAGTGGGAAGCGAAAAGCTGGAGTTGTTCCGATAAGATGTCGCCGCTGTTGTGGTTGCCGAGATTCCAATACGTGTGTTGTACTAGGTTCACTGGCGTGGCCTTGTTTAGAGCTTTAGCTTTCATCTTGACGCTCAGCCTGTTGCCTGGGTGAAGGGTGTAGGCCACAGTTACCTCCAGTGCACCAGGAAATCCTCCCAATTATACAACGAAATGAATTATCAAACGAAGATTTTGTAGTACAAATTCTTTTGGGTTGGTAAAAGGAAAAGTGGACTGACCTTCTTCACCATCAAAGCTATGATTTGCAAACACAATGGAAGGAGCATAACCATCTTTCTTGTATTTCTTTACTTTCCATACAACATCACTAAATCCAACAGGTCCACCTGATAATAATCATTTTAAAGTGAGAAAATTGAAAACATTGCTAAATGTGAGTAATTAAGATGAGGATTGAAGGAATAATATACCATGAAGCATGTTTTTGCCTTCATTGGGGACCAATTTGTAATGGACTCCGTTCAGAGTGAATTGAGCCCCTGCTATTCTGTTTGCAACCCTTCCAACAATGGAACCAATATACGACGTATCATTCTGTAAAAAAAAACATTTCTTTCGTATGAAAAGAGGACATAAACATGGATGAAAATAAAGAGACAAGTGTCATAACCATTTTTTAGGTAAAACAATTAAATATTATTTTAAAAAACGATTATGATTTTTATTTGAAAAAATTGAGGATTTTGGATTAATTGGAATTAAATTGAATATGGAGTCGCCATCGACCTTTGGATTAGGTAGGTCGAACACCTAAAAACGTATTTTAAAATAATTTTAATAAAAATCGTTTTAAGACAAAATTTGATCTGCATTTGCCAAAGATTCGATTAAAACGAGTTCGGGAGTCGGTTACACGTGGAGAAGTATTAACACCCCACAACGCCCAAAATTGGCACTATGTCACTTACATTTTGTCGTAAATGGTGGAAAATATGAATCAAATATAAAAGTTAAAATGTGATCAATTTATTGAAATATTAATTTGCTTCAAATTAATTAAGTAGAGAAAATTCTTTAATTTGAAAAGAAATCTTGATATTAGCAATCCTCCGTCGGGAAAACTAACTCGACTATTTCTCATTAGTAAAGAATATTCCCTCATCGATAGATTGTAAAAAAATACGAATCGAATATAAAATTGATAATCAACATTTGCATAAATTAAATCACTATTTAGTAATATGCGTCACATTGTTTAACTTAAAATAAAGGAATTAATTAGCAAAATAATATCGATTTTATTTCAAGTTCACATTTTGTTCAAATGTCGTATCGGATTGCAATGCTTCGATCAAGCAAGGCTTTCCACGCCCATTCTACAAATTCGTGTTATTAAAACGATTCGACTATTTCAACCATGGATAAAATACAATGGAGATAAATGTAATTAAAAATACAAAATAACATGATCACATTAAATAGAATGGAAAACATTTATTTTCATAATACACATAACCATAAAAATAAGTAAAATACATTCATACATAAATGACTAGCATACAAAAACATTACAAACTAAAATGAAATCATTAAAATACAAATATTTACAAGACTAAAATAAAATTAACATAAATTTGAAGGACAAAAATAATAAAAACAGAAACTAAAGGGACTAAAATGGCAAAAATAAAAACATAGGGAGTAAAACAATAAAAATAGAAACATAGAGGACTAAAATGTCAACAACAGAAATTTACATGGCTAAAACAACAAAATGGAAACTTAAAGGGTATAAATAGAAAATATAGACATTTGAAGGGTTCAAACTGAAAAATAGAAATTTTAATGACCTAATCAAAAAATATAAACATACCAGAGCCCTAATCTACATTTTAAACAAATTCAGACACTAGGAATGAAAATAACCCAACAATGAAACTTAGGACTAAAATGCAATGAATCAAAAACATGAAGGCCGAATCATAATTAAACCCAAATATAACACAGGGACAAAAATGAAATAATAGCAAATATTATGACCAAAATCAAATAATAACCAGAATAGCATAGTAGGTAATAACAGGACTCAAACATAAGTAATGAAAAATAAAGGCTCGAAATCAAAGAAATATGAACTTCATTTAATGGTTGAAACGTGCGATTACAAAGTATTGGGGACCTAACGTGTAGTTAACCCATACGCACAATTGCAGATACACCCTTGGTAAAACGGTGTCGCATTAATGGCCAAATATAAGGCCAATATCAAGGCCTTAAACCGGCCATCTCCCTATTTCTCTCATTTTTCCATCTCTCTTAAAACAGAGAGCAAAACAATGCTCTCAACTTTTCCCCCTCTCAGCCTCTGTCTCCGCCGTGGAGAGTAAACCAGAGGCATCCGTAGACGACGGCGATGGCGTAGGTAAACGACCCAAACACTAGCCTTTAGTCTTCCTATTCTTTCTCCCTTTGAACATCAACCCTTCTCCTACCCAAACAAAACCGAAACCCCTATTCAAAAACCCTAGATCCACAATAGGGGAAAGTTTACCTTCGATACTGGTTCTCTACACTCTGGCGAGGCTATAATGATGGGGTTTTCCACAAGGGTAAGATCTCCCTCTCTTTCTTTTTTTTCTCTCTATATGTTCTTTTCCTTTCGATTTTTTTCTGTTATTTGGTTCGAATCAGATTGAGAGTTTTTAGTTGGGTTCCCTCTGTTCTATAAAACCCCCGAATGGTTCCCCACCGAAATTCCTTTTTGATATCATATCTGCTCCTTTTTAATCTCGCATGTGTCTTGGATTATGGCTTGCTGTTGATGGATATGATAGAATAGAAGATTGCCTCGGGATATTATTTATCCTTGCTTCCATTTTTTATTTTTATTTCTCTGATTGATTTGTCTGACTGATGGATTTATCACTGTTGAGGGTCACTGTGGATGACAACGATGACGATCGGCTCCGATGGCGGCTCGATGGCTCGGCGGGGAAGCTGAGGATTTGAAGGCGGCGGTGCTGAATTTTGGTTTACGGTTTAAAACCCTAATTTGTTTGGGTTGGTTCTGCTATTGGGCTTAGGGATTAGGCCTGCAAAAATATATATGTAACATAATTATTAATAATAATAAACATAATAATAATAAATAATAATAATAATAATAAATTTAAAAAAAGACCCGGACAAAAAAGAGTGTCTACAGCTGCCCCTCTTTGCACATTCTTGTGTTAACAGGAATAGGGCAAAGACGAAAAGACATCACGTTTTTGTCTGGTTCTCTCCCTTTTAAAATTAGAAATTGGATAATGTTGGTTGTTGGGGACGACACTACTCATACATGATGAAGAGTTCGGGTCGTCTAAGGGTGGCACGGTTCCTACGTGATGAGGAAATATGGTCGAGGGATGACACGACTCATACGTGATGAAGAGTTCTAGTCATCTTTAGGAAGGGTGATAACACGGTTCCTACGTGATGAGGACGTCTGGTTATCTAGGGGTAACACGACTCCTACGCGATGAAGAGATCTGGTCAGGGGATGACACTGCTCCTACGTGATGAGGACGGTTGGTCATCTTTAGTGATTGTGGTTTTAAGGGAAACCGACTCAAAGATTTGTTTCAAAAGAAACAGACTCAAAGATTTGTTTCAAGAAAAACATACTCAAAGGTGATGTGTTTCAAAAGTAACTGTCTCAAAAGAGACAAAATTTGTTTCAAGGGAAACGACTCAAAGATGACGTTTAAAGGAAATTGTCTCAAGCGAAACAAAATTTGTGTTTAAGGGAAACGTTCTCAAAGATCGGTGTTTCGAGAGAAACAAACTCAAAGATGTTTTTGTTTCAAGAAAAACACACTCAAAGATTTTGTTTGTTTTGTTTCAAGGGAAACAAACTCAAAGATGGTAAATTTTGTTTTCAAAGAAACAAACTTAAAGATTTTTTCTCAAAGAAACTGTCTCGAGAGAAACAAAATTTTATTTCCAAAGAAACAGACTCAAAGATAGTTTACGTTTTAAGTGAGACGAAATTTGTTTCAAATGAAACAATCTCAAAGGTTGGTTTTTCATTAAAAATTATCTCAAGAGAGACAAAATTTGTTTTCAAAGAAACAATCTCAAATGTTTATTTTTCATTAGAAACTGTCTCAAGAGAGACAAAATTTGTTTTTGAAGAAATAGACTCAAATATGATTTTGTTAAGAGAAACAAACTCAAAGGTTTTTTTTTAAAAAGAACATACTCAAAGATTTGTTTCAAAAGAAACTGTCTCAAGAGAGACAAAAATTGTTTTAAGAGTAACAGGCTCAAAGAGTTTTTTCTCAAAAAAAAATTCTCTCAAGAGAGACAAAATTTTGTTTCCAAAGAAACAGACTCAAAGATTTTTTTTTCAAAAGAAACGACTCAAAGATTTTTTCACGAAATTGTCTCAAGAGACAAAACTTTGTTTCAAAAGAAACAGACTCAAAGATTTTTCACGAAATTGTCTTAAGAGAGACAAAACTTTATTTCAAAATAAACAACTCAAAGATTTTTACTCAAAAGGAACAGACTCAAAGATTTGTTTCAAGAGAAACTATCTCAAGAGAGACAAAAATCGTTTTAAGAAAAAAAAAGATTCAAAGTTTGTCGATTTTGTTTCTAGGGAAACAATCTCAAATGTGTTTATTTTGTTTCGAAGGAAACAATTTCAGGATTTGTGTTTAAATGGGAAAATGTCTCACGCGAGACGAATCAACTTTGAAAATCCCAAGTGATATTAATTTTGTTTTAAGTACAACAACTTTGAAATTTGTATTATGAGGGAAAATGTCTCAAGTGAGACGAATCAACTTTGAAAATCTCAAGTGATATTAATTTTGTTTCAAGTAAAACAACTTTGAAATTTGTATTCTGAGGGAAAATGTCTCAAGTGAGATGAAATTTGTTTTGAAATTGTCTCAAACGAGACAAAATTTGTTTAAAAGGAAATTGTCTCAAGTGAGACAAAATTTGTTTTTAGAGAAATTGTCTCAAGCGAGACAAAATTTGTTTATGAGAAAACGATCTCAAGTGAGATCAACTTTGTTTAATGTGAAACAAATTCGAAATTTGTATTTCAAAGGAAAAATGTCTCAAGCGAGACGAAATTTTTTTTCCAAGAAATTGTCTCAAACGAGACAAAATTTGATTTTAGAAAACTATCTCAAGCGAGACAAGATTTGTTTTTCAAAAGAAGTTGTCTCTAGCGAGACAACATTTTGTTTCGAGAGAAACAACATCAAAAGATACTGATAATCTGTTTGTTCCTGCTGGTGGAGGAAATGTCTTAATTGTTAACTTCAGGAAGTCACATCTGTGGATGTCATTGTTTCTTCAAGATAGAGACATCTGGTCATTTCTGAGCTTTGATTTCCTGAGAGATCAAAATGATACATTTTGACTGAGTATCTTCGATGTTAAAAATGAAATTTATTTGATATTTTTTATTGAATTTATCCTCAAGTGAGGAGAAAAATGTCTTTAATATACATCATGATAAATGTTTGATGCAAAATTTATGTATCATGCATTTATGTGTATGTATGTATGTATGTATATATGTATGTATGTAT